TAGATAGCATCACTGAAGCAATGAGCATGAAACTGAGCAAACTCAGGGAGGCAGTGAAGGACAGGAAGGCCTGGCGCAATATGGTTCATGGGGTCACGAAGAGTCGGACACGACTTAACAACCAAACAACAACAAATAGTTGAAATAAATGCGTCAGGCCCAGTGGAGACATGTCCCACCCCTATCAAATCAAGCAGTGCTGCAAGATTTCATGGGAAAGTTGTCAAATGCTGTGCAACATTTGGTATATTCCTCTTCCTGTCCCTCTGGAGGATATTTCATGGACAACATGGTTTCATAAACAATGGCAGCAATGCAAAAATGCCACAGTTGGAACTAAATACAGCTTTAATTTTCACTGGAGATTTTGGTCTTCATCTTGTGCATTTGCAGAGAAAATGAACAAATTAAACACTTTGACCTTCACTTGGACAGTTACTACCTGCAAATTGCATTGGAGATTTAAACTGCAAGTAATATTTTCAGGTGGATTCATAGGACCAATTTCTTACATCAAGGTAATTTTGAGGGAGTTACTTCTTGATTTAGATAAATCTTCCTAAACTTGGGCCCTCCAGATACATTGGGTTACAATTCCTATTGCCCTCGTCCAGCAATGCTGAGGATACCAGATTGGGGAAAGTCTTTGAAATGCATGTGCATCCAATCCAGTTGTGTATGATCTAGGCCCATATGAGTTTCCACCACAATCTTAACTGTGAAAACTTATTCACAAGAGTTGTTTGAATGAGAGGGAAGGAGCGCTTATTGAGTAGCCTTTAGACTGGTGTATCACTACTGTGGCAGAAAAGTAAGAAACAGATGGAGAAGGAGCTCCAGAAATTGGTTGGTAGGGCCAAGAGATTTGAATGTGCCTGGGTCTCTTACCCACCAAACAAGGAGTAGGCTTCTAATTCTCTCCTCAAAATGACAACAGTCAAAGCCAAGCACAAAGATTCTGGCCCAAAAAAGTTCTATGAATAAGAGTAGTTCAAAAGTGGAACCAATGGCAAAGAGGTGGACTTCTCTTCCTTGGATCAGTTCAGTTGCCCTGACATACAGAGTTGGACTTGATGGACCAAATGCATCCTTCTAAATCTAGGCCTCTTTGATTCAAGGTCCTGACCAGAAGTCGATGGGTTGCTGGAAGGTTCCAGCAGAAGAACAATAACAAGGCCCGGTCCTGTTTCCTTTCACTTTTATCTTATATTGCCTCTTGGTGAGCCCTCAGCTGCAGGTATTTCAGTATGTCTGGCTGAAAAGTTATTTATTTTTACAGACTTCTATTTGCTG